GAGAAGGATGCCGAACAGTCGGAGCTGAAGCCATAATTGTTCCACCACCTGGCTGGCTTGTTGACTGGATAGGAAGCGATTGTGACGAGCTCGAAGACGCTACACTACTCGGCGCCATTACCACATTCATAATTCGCGTTCCTTGCGTGAAGCCTCTCCTTTAAAAGCTTTAGGGTAACCCCAAACTAAATTAAAGACCAACTTTACTACTTACGGAACAGCACGAAGTTGATGCGGTTGGCCGGCTCGTGACGGTACCATTACAGCGGTCATCTATAAATGATTGGGAATATTGATGGGAAATCCTTTGGAAAATTGAGCTATAAAAAGCAAACAAACCGGTGCCTTCTGTCCGATGGTCCTTTTTGGAGGGGGTAGACGTTGTGTGGAAACCATTCGAATTTGCTGTTGGGGAACAACATACGAACGATCGCCTGATTGGGGAGCTTGTTGAACGAACATGCGAGGAGCAGCGGGCTGAAAACCACAATAAAACGTTTTTGGCCAAATATGACCCTTCTCCATGAAAATAATAACATTACCCATAAATGCAAGCGAAATTCGTTCACTCTATGCAAATGCAAAACCGAAGGTCCCGGGGAGATTTGAACTCCCGTCGCAGGATTCAGAGTCCTGAGTGCTAACCGCTACACCACGGGACCGGTGATTGCTTTGCGCTAGCGACCGCTTATGAGCGGACGCTCGGGCCGCTACTACCCTCCATCTGCAACGTTGGGCAGACCGAAGACGATCAATAAGTGAATGGGATTCGCACTGCACAGACTGCAATGCATTCAACCCTATACTTGTACATACTATTTAAAAACACTTATGCTGATCCCCTCCCAGAAGTACTATAGAAAAAGAAAGAAAAGCCTAGAATTCGACCACTGAACAAAAAGTGTATCACAGAAGAAAGCAAAAACCGGCGTGAACAGTATACTGCTAATATAAGAAATCCTCTTGGGCAGTTTGAAACTGTCCAAGAGGATTTGTCATAACATTGAAGTTTTGAACCTAAGTTTTCGTCAGAATCTATTACTTACGCCAATTTGGCTAACTTGGAATGTGAAAAAGGAAAAAAGCAGTTTCACTGACCCTTTGCATAACTCTTCCTCTTGGCGCCCCACTTACTGTGGTAGCACCTGGCTGGAACAGCTGGCTGTTACCTGATACTGTTTGAACGTTTGTCATATAACTTCCTTGTACCTGGAAAGATTCGAAACGTTTTTACAGGCAACTGTACCAAATGTTGCGAATCCAAACAAACCCTATTTAGCGATGGTGTGTTCGGAGGGGTTCGTTTTGTTTGCGAAGTGTTTGAAATCGAGCGATACACTGGCTGCGCACTTTGGCCAATCGTCATACCATCGGCTGCCCGGGTGACAAACTTCAAGAAAAAAAGAATTAGCCCAAGAAGTGATGAATAAAGGTTGGAAAATCGAAAGTACACTTTATATTCAGAGGGCGCAGCTCATTTTGAACGCCTGCCGAACGTGGAAGGGCTGTGCTTTTGTGGTATCTTGTTGTTCGAGGTGCAATCATGGCTCGAATCAACAGAAGACAGGATGACGCAGGCAGGCGTTCAAAATGAAAAAAGGCGAATCAAGCCATCCAATGAACTGCGTAGCCACGGCCTTCCATTCTCCGAGATATCGAGTGTAAGTTGACTTACAGGTAAACAAAGAGCAGTGGGGCTCAGAGAAACGCGCAACTGAGCTCATTTCAAGCCATAAAAATGTTATATCAATGAACCCCGAACTCACCTGCATGCGAGATGAAGGAGGAATAGAGTCCTGACTGACGACTACGTAATTATGTTGAGTACTGGCCCCTGACCCCTGCACATGCTGTAAACCACTGCCCAATGCGACAGCGGTCGACGGATGTGACGCAGTGCGACGCATTCCACCAACCGGCGAATGCGACTGTGGCATGACATTCTAAAAAAATAGCACTTTGTTGGGTGTATAAATAAGAAAATTGGGTCTATTGAATTATAAAACAATTGAAGTTAATAACAGAATAAAAGGTCACTACCATAGAGAGGTCTTGTGCCATGGATTGCTGAAGAGCAGGAGGACTCGGCAGCTGCAAGTTTTTAAATAAGCAAGCTACCAACATTAACTATAATCAGACGTCATTCCTTTAATACGAATACAGAATTTACGCACTTTTCTCCCTTCTCATCAACCTTAGAAACTGGGTTCGCCTTATTAGTTTGTTGACAAGGATGTGGCCAGAAATTCATCCACATAGCGTCTTGTCCCCATACGAAAACGACACAACCATTTGCCACGAAAACACCAGGGGCTCAGGAAGCCAGGGCGTAGGGCCTGTTGATGGCAGCCCCAGTCCACGAGCACCGACAATTTTCACAGCAAATGGGTACGGCATATCGCATAGGACCGTCGGGTGGAAATTTTGCAAAATACGACCCACCCTTGAAAGTTCTTGACATGACCCCTCTCCTCTCGCCCATGCTCTCATCCTAGCAACTATCTTCCTGAATTTTCCTAGCTTCCCACCACTTTTCCGTTGTTTGTTGAATGGGGAGGGTATGCAAATAGTACCTTCGTTCCCCTAGCAAGCCCCTCGCTGGGAATCTTCAACGTACGTGCCCTGATTTCGTATGGGACCAAACCACCCCTCTAGGGTTTTGAGCACATTGACTGATGTGAGATGTTTTAACGTCAGCAGCTGCGGACAGAACAAGTGACAGCTTCAAGCCAAAGTAGCAGGAAAACCAAACCCAACCTTCAAAAAAGGTTGCATAAGGGTAAATAGTGCCAAAATTCCACCCTATGTCTGGAGTAATTCTTCTCGAAGAATCAGAAAGTATCTATCTACCTACTAAACTCACCACGAGTTGAGGGACCGATATAACAATGGGCATGCGGGACTGTACAATTTCGTTCCCAGCGGTTACAGCAGGCGGTCGTACGCATACAGAGATAACTGGATGAGGAGGTGAATTCTGTAAAAAAGTTTGAGTAGATTTCAAACAACGGCTAAGTCCATGGGGACGTGTCTCAGGCCATTTACCGGTCTCTCGTTGTTGGCCTGTTGTTCTGCTAATTTCTTCTTCGCGGCTTCTTGAGCGATTCGCTTCTCTTCCTAAAACATATCATATAAGAAAAGTATGTGCTATTATAATTGAAAATACGAAGATCCGAGGCATTCTATGCTCCTCACTACTATATGGGTGCCACCTCACCAAATTCGACAGAATTTCCTGTGGCGCAAGACCGGTTGGGAATCTAATGTTCATAGAAGCAAGTCGGCTTTCCTGAGCCGGTGGTAACCGGCCGCTCGGTTCCAATGAACGGTGTTCTAAACGAAGAATATAATTCATTGATGTGAGCCGTGGCCAAGCCCGGACATTCTTTCAATATCTCACCAATTGGCCGCCTCGCACATTTAAACGCATTCTGTTTCTCAGTTAACGACTCGATGAGCCGTAGGCGACCTAATACAGACGATTCTCGTAACTTGTCAGCATCATGCGCATACTGTAGATCGGTTGAGACACGCCCTTTGCGTAAGTGGACTAAAATTTTGAGCACTTGACGGTTTCTTACAATTCATCAGCAGAAGTACAACTAACCAATTTCAGCGATTTTATGTCAATGGCCCACTTTCCGGGAGCGTATTCTTTGTCAATGCATTCCACAATTTTCCATTTAACTGACCACTTTCACGCGGCCCTACCACCATTTGATAACACGAATGGTAACACTTGTCGCGCGGCGGATCTAAACGATGTTTTCGAGACGTCTGCAAGAAGTGGTTAATTTTTATTTTAGTCGATTTGTATTCACACCTTGAAGTGTGCCATACGTCACATAGAGTTGCACATATATTGAATACTTGAGTAGGGTACAAAAGCAAATTACAAAAGCAAATTTGGAGCGTAGCCATTTTAGGAGTTTTAGCCCGGGTAATTCGCGCGGCTAGTCGTTCAAGACGCTGCTATAGGCTAGGATCTTAAATAGCTTACCCATTTCATAAAAAAAGTCGCTCAAGACGCTCAAGCATGGCGTTCGCACACGCATGCGGACGCTCAAGCGCTGTTCGTACGCTCAAAATGCTGAATGCAAAGTATAAACCAGCTGAGCGATTATGGATTACTGGCAAGTCATTCAACCGGGTTCTCGCTCAAGGTGCAGTCCAGTTCTCCACGAGGAACTCTCTCAAATCCTCCGCCCGCCCCCCATTTTTTGAATGTTACCCAAAATTGAAGCCGAAGATAACCGAAAAAAGTTTTTGCAACCACGGAGTACCTGTAGAATCGCGTGACGCGGTTCACAAAACCAGAAATGTACTCCCAATTGTACCGCAATGATGTTTTCATCCTTTCGAAACTATGACACATGATCTCTTCATTACGAACAGCCTGTCATAATAACATGGTATAGTGAATAAACGACAAAAACAAAAATAATTTTTCTCTCACCGTTAGCAGCGCTTGATCCTCAATGATATTCCATTCTGGACCTTCGTAATCGTACTCTTCTCGAACAGCTGGAGGTGGAGTTACCGGTCGCATTAACTCTCGACCCTTCTGTTCCAACTGACGGGGCAAAGCTCTCCGTTCCTTCTTTGATACTCGATTTTCAGCTGCTACATCTGGAATAATAACATCTTTTGTACACGTAAAATCTTTCCGTCCGCACTGAACAAATAATGCACAATTACCATTTTTGAGCTCACTGTAGCCCTGCATGTACTGATCGAATTCAGCTGGTGAATAGGGTGTAGGGCTGTAGGAAGCAGGTGGTGGTGTGTGATAAGAGGTCGGGCCGGATTGGGATAAAGGATCAGAAGACTCATTACTGCTGCATCTGACGACGATTGTTGAGTGTTATGTGGTGGAGGTGCAGGTGGAGGAGCTAAAACCATAAAATATAACAACATGGAATCGTAAGTCAAGACATGGTATTCCAAGATATCGTCTGGCAAAATAAATCTTTAAATGGGGCTCTTATAGTAGGAATAGGCCAGGGTCAGTTCAGGCTAAATGTATTAAGAAAGATGGGAAAAGTGCTTACCAGGTTGTTTCACTGGGCTGGTAGGCTTGTTCAAGACATTTCGGCAATTCATGAATTTCCGATGGCAACTTGTCTTCGGTCATGAAATCGCGATCGTAGAGGAGATCCAGACATTCATCGAAGTAGATATCGTTGTCCGTATCCGATAGAGGAGGTGTTGGAAAGGGGGTCCACATCTGTAGACTCAACATCAAACCAGACAACAACTTAGTACTTTTTAATTAACACACTGAACGCCGGAACTGAGGAGTCTGCGTCTGCAATCTAACGTTTTTGAGCCTTAAAATGCATTACCAACGAAACATTTCTGATAACATCAGGGGCACTAATATAATTTGGAGGGGGGGGGCACCTCGCAGCGCCTTTGTGTCCATTCTAAAACCAAACCAAACAGAGGGCGAGCTACACTTTTGTTCGGTTTCCGTTTAAGGGCACCTGCGAAACGCAAGCTGAGCTACTTCTTTGCCTTCGTACCCCAGGCGGGAGTCGAACCCGCACCTCACGCTTTCCGGGCGAGTGCGCTATCCGTTACGCCACCAGGGCCGCTTTTACCCTCTCAGCTTAACGGCTTTTATGCCAAGTTAAACGTGTGAGTGCTGTAAGGCTACGGCATAAAAGCCGTTAAGCTGAGAGGGTAAAAGCGGCCCTGGTGGCGTAACGGATAGCGCACTCGCCCGGAAAGCGTGAGGTGCGGGTTCGACTCCCGCCTGGGGCACGACTTTTGCCCACAACTCAGCATTCTTGTGATAACATTCGGAACGCGTACTGCGGCGTAAAACAGCAGTTATCAACAAAACAGCTTCAAAAACTTGTCACTTATTTTCTTTTTCAGTGATTTTTCTTAACCTTTGTGGAGACTGTGCCTCTTCTGGACGAGTCGCTTGTCTTACTATGAACAAGCAATCCCTCTCCCAACTAGTCAACGATCTGCACACAAGTTACTTTCCAACGAAAAAGTGATTCATACAATGTGCATTTGAATCAACACACAAGGCGTTCAGTATGTTAAGAATATTAACTTTGACAGATTGCTCACCGGCATGATCCCATCCAAGAAGTCGTGATGGAACGCGAACACCTAAAGAGCTTCCAGTGAGAAGTTTTACACGAGCGTCTCCATTTTCACTTCACCATTTCGGCATTTTTGAGTTAACACTTCACTGATTACCATAGAGAAATTTAGCTTCGAAGAGAAAACAGAGCTCATAACCAAGCAGAACTATTGTAGAGCTTGTATCAGACTTAGGCTTCAACTAAGTGTTCTTTCATGAGGATTGCCACCTTGCACGAGGTTTACGGTATTCGCTCA